TTCAAGCGCTAATGAAATCCTTTGGATCACATTCGGTATGAATGCGCCCCAACGAGGGTCGAATGCGTTCCAAACATGTTTCAAATACAAAGGAATACATTGAATATACCCTAAATAAAAGCTTTTCATGGCATTTTAACAGTTTGAGAAAGCTATTTTCAACGTATTTACAAAAAAAAACGTAAACAAATGTTTGGTGGTTGCATTTCCTTGAAAACGATGCACCTCTTTTTATAACTTCTACTTCACAAAAAGTACTTAATAGAAGTTAAAAATATGTTTTCATTTTATATTGTAAGGTTTGAAGATATATTTAACGATCATGCAACATTTTTTTAGTTGAAAAAACAGCTGTTTGAAATGGGAACAAATGAATTACAACGAATATAAACACTTCATTCAAAATGAGCTTTAGCAATGATCTGTTCACCTTGCTAATTAATAAAACTCTAAAAATTTTCAATGTTAATAAACTTTTATTCAACTTTTTACAGAGAGAAAAATCGGAACGTTCTCCTCAATCAAAACAAAAAACTTAAAAATATTTGAAATTGAATTTTACTTTTTAAATTCAATAAATGCACAGCCAACTGGGTCGCCACAGTACCCCCTCCTAGCGATGGAGTACTAGCAACAACGCGACACCACAACTAAGTCGACAACACCACTCTTAATCACGAAATTCCGCTAACCTTGCTGGGAAACGCACTACTCTACCAGCTCGTGTCACTTTCGGAATCGGCAACAGGGATTCACGCCTACAATCACCAGAAGTCACTAACTGATCACCATTCAACAACGCTGAAGGCTGACGCGTTTCTGGAACAACCTGTTCAAGATCATCACACGTTAAGTACGCCGCCTTCAACCTATCATTCGAAACAGTCACCTCTCTCCCACGACAAACAATAACAGACGTCTTCTCACTACGACTCAGCACCTCAAATGGACCTTCATAAGGCTGCTCAAGTGGAGCTCGAGCACGATCCACTCGAAGAAAAACGTGCTTACAATTAATAACGTCACGCGGAACATACACAGATGGATGACACTGTCTTGTTGATTCAACGGATTTAACCTTAGCTAAAGCCCTTCGCAACGCCGACACAAAATCAGTCTCGGACGACTTCTGCTTGAAATCCGAAAGCATCTGCCCTGGAACACAAAGAGGATTTCCAAACAACATCTCTGAAGGACTAGCATTTAAGTCTAATTTCGGTGTAGTTCGCAATCCCAACAACACAAGCGGAAGAGACTGCGTCCAATTACTTGAGGAATGACATCGAATGGCTGCCTTCAATGTTCTATGGAAACGTTCAACCATACCATTTGCTTGAGGATGATAAGCCGTGGTATGAAAGTGTTTCACTCCAAGCAATCTCGTCAGTTCCCGAAATACAGCAGACTCAAACTGCCGACCCAAATCAGTGGTAATAGCCTGCGGAGAACCAAAACTTGCCACCCAACCGTCGATAAAAGCCGCTGCAACTTCTTCTGCCGTAATGCCCGACAGAGGCACAGCAACAGGCCACCGAGAAAAACGATCGACGCAAGTCAAACAATAACGCTTCCCCTGAGACAAAGGCAATGGACCCACAATGTCAACATGAACATGCTGGAACCGACTATCAATATCAGCAAACGAACCAATTGGTGTTTTAGTATGCCGCTGAATCTTGGACTTCTGACACGCAATGCAACTACGCACAAACACAGCTACATCCTTAACCAAACCAAGCCAAACATACCTAGCCTGCACCAATTTCCGCGTTGCTCGAATACCAGGATGAGCCAAACCGTGGAGTTTTGAGAGTACCAGCTGCCGACAGTTTGCGGGAACAAAAGGACGAACACGACTGCCTGACACATCACAGTACAGTTCAATACTCGAATCCGGCAATCTCAACTTCTTCAACCCAACACCATCTTCAGACTGGCTCTTCAGCTGAGCGAGCAACTCTGCATCAGTCTTCTGCCCCTCAGCAATTAACTCAATAACATTTGCCTCCAACTGAACCGTAGCAACCCGAGACAAAGAGTCAGCCACCGTATTATCTGCACCAGCCAGATGACGAATATCAGTGCAATACTGACTAATAAACTCCAGCTGTCTTGCACGACGAGGAGATGCCTTCTCACTTATTTGCCTGAACGCAAACGTTAATGGTTTGTGATCCGTAAAAATGACGAAATCACGTCCCTCTAATGCATACTTAAAATGCTGGACAGCTTGATAGATAGCAGTCAACTCACGATCATAAGCACTATACTTAGTCTGCGCTGGACTCAAACCTTTTGAATAAAATGCCAATGGCTGAGTCACACCTTTCACTACTTGTTGGAGAACAGCACCCACCGCAACGTCTGAAGCATCAGTCGTGAGCGTCAATTGTGCATCCAGAGCCATGAAGTTAAGCAACGTAGCTTGGGCAAGATCCTTCTTGCAAGCCTCAAAAACCTCTATATCTTCTGGAGTCCAAGAAATCACCGACTTATCATTCTTGCGGTTACCTGGTGTAAGATGAAACAACCGCTGCTGATTCTGCACAGCGTTACGCAGAAACGGCCGATAAAAGTTCACCATGCCTAAGAATTGTCTAAGCTGTTTCACCGTTGCTGGCAGAGGAAAATCACGAACAGCTTGAACTTTACTCTCCGGAGGACGTAAACCCTTTGCACTAATAACGTGCCCAAGGAACTCGATCTCGGAACAGCCGAACTTACACTTGGCAAAATTCACGGTCAAACCAGTTTCTCTAAGTCGATCTAAAACCAGTCGCAAATGCATTCTGTGTTCTGCTTCATCTTTTGACGCAATTAAAATATCGTCGATGTACGCAAAAACGAAATTAAGATCACCTAGAGTCTCATTCATAAAACGCTGAAACGTCTGGGCAGCATTACGGAGACCGAAAGTCATAAAGCGAAACTCGAACAGGCCAAACGGAGTTGTAATAGCTGTCTTCGGAATGTCTGCCAGTGCAAGCGGTATCTGATGATACGCTTTCTGCAAATCTATCTTCGAAAACATAGTTTTACCATGAAGAATACTCGTCACATCATGAATGAACGGAATCGGATACCGATCAGGTTTAGTTTGCGCGTTGAGCATGCGATAATCGCCACACGGTCTCCAACTTCCATCGCCTTTGCGAACCATGTGAAGTGGACTTGCCCAACAGCTTTTCGAAGGTTGACAAATCCCTGTCTGGACTAAAAATTGGAATTCCTTCTTGGCTTCTTCAAGTTTGGCTCCAACTAAACGTCGGGGACGAGCAAATGACGGCGCACCAAATGTCTCGATGCAATGTTCAACCTTAGTAACTAAACCCATCCGATTTGCACTCATAATGCCTAAATCACGGTATTCATTAACCAGCTCAGCATAAGCTGAAACTGAACCACACACACGCACAGTATCTTCTTGAGACACAGCAGCCTTACCCTTCATCATCAAAGTCGTCTTCGAATCAACTAACCGCTTCCTTTTCAAATCCACTAACAAATCATAGTGATTAAGGAAGTCGGCTCCAACAATAGGACAGCTAACATCCGCAATCACGAACGTCCACGGGAAATCTCTACGCAAACCCAAAGACAAAAGCAGTCGACGCTCGCCAAATGTTTGAATAGGCGTACCATTAGCGGCATATAAATTAACTGATGCAACACTGTTAGCCCTTTGCTTCCAACGACAGAACGACTTCGGTAAAACTGATATGTCCGCACCAGTATCAATGAGAAAAACGGTCGACGTGGCGGGATCTTTAATACTAAGTCGAGCTATACGAACACTAACCCCTTCTCGGCTCGACGACGTAGAAGGAGTGCCTAGTTTTTTGACTGATGAGAGCTTGCCACAAAACTACAGGGCTGCCGACAAGCATTAGCTCTATCACCAAACCTTTCGTGATACCAGCACCAATCTGGATGACTTCCTGGTCGGGAACGAGTTCGCCTACGTCTCCTCGATGACGATCGACTTTGCACCGACTCACTACGACGTAAATCCAAACGACTCAGACGCTGTTCGATTTGCTCAAGCCTTCGTAAAATCACAGCATTCTCAGAATAGGCTGGACAATCAGAGGCTGACGCTACAGCTATCTGTTGAAAATCACCCGCCTCGCAAATACGGTCTGCTAATTTCGCCAGTTCTGCTAGTGCCACGTTCGATGCCTGCAGAATAGCGCGCACTTGTGGTGGCAAACGCTTCAGCCAAAGAGACTTAAGGAACTCATCGCTCACCTTGTCTTTAGCTAACGCTGTCAACTCCGTTAGCAACTGTGTTGGGCGTCTATCACCAAGTTCAACTTCTGACAACAACCGTTGAATCTTCCGCTGCTCGCTCTCACTGTACCGCTCTATGATGCAAGCCTTTAAATTAGCGTATCTTCCAGTTTCAGGAGGATGAAGCACTGCATCACTTACATCGGCGATAACACTTGACTCAATCGCTGCTACTACCGTGTTGAACTGTGTGATGTCACTCGTAATGGCAGCTACTGCAAATTGCGCCTCGATCTGAGCAAACCAAATCTCCGGTCGCTCGTGCCAAAACGGTGGCACCTTCACTGCTACACGGTTTACGACACTTCCACTATCAGAAGCCATTACTACACCTTCGTCTGCAACTGACATCACAGCTCGATAATTAGATATTTAGCTCAGAAGTTAATATTTCTAAATTTAAACTTTTTCGAGATCACGTCGGGGTCACCAATTTAGCAATGATCTGTTCACCTTGCTAATTAATAAAACTCTAAAAATTTTCAATGTTAATAAACTTTTATTCAACTTTTTACAGAGAGAAAAATCGAAACGTTCTCATCAATCAAAACAAAAACTTAAAAATATTTGAAATTGAATTTTACTTTTTAAATTCAATAAATGCACAGCCAACTGGGTCGCCACAGAGCCATTTTCGGGCAGTGTAAACGCCATATAAAACTTTAATAGCACATTTATACTGTTTCATTTAGGTACTTGCACATTTATATATATAAATGAGTGACCGTTCATATTATAATGAGCTCATTTATGCAGCTGATAGATCTTTTATAAACTTCACATAATAAAATATCACACAAAAAAATTGAACATATAATAGGTATATTAAATCATATATATATATATTTTATATGTATATCAATTAAATATTTAATTAATAAAAACAAAGATTTTATTTAATATTTACTTCCTCAGTGTCTTTGCTTACAGCTCAGCTGTAAATTTGTTGTTTTTTCACATTTTACATATAAAAAATATGTAATTTTGGTAATTTCTCTTGTGGAAAATTTGTTTTTAAAATTTGCATTCGATATTTTTCGTTTCATATGAGATGATTTATGAGAATTCACGTCATTTATATGAAAGTACTTTGTATGGGAAATCATCGTTATTAGTGGCTATAATGAGCAAAATTTCCTAAATGAGCTAATTCATATTACCTGCTTTTATCAGAGTTCGGCAAAAGTTTTATATTTTATCAAGAGACTTTATTAAAATTTATTGAGCGCGTGTAAACCCTAAAAACAAGTATGCATAAACAAAAGGCATTGGCGGTTAGATCGGATATTGGTGCTGATATTTTCATATTTTAAAAAATAGTGTACGAGGTAAATTATGTTGGCTGTAATACGAAAAATATTTTAAGAGCTTAAAATAAGTAACACAATGGAGCAGAATAATTTAAGGCAAAATTCAATGATTCAATTAACGGCAATGTTAATAGAGACTATGTCAAAATGTATAAATTTAATTAATTCTGACTATCATTCCAATATGCTTTTGTTGCGACAGCGGCGTAGAAAGTGTTTGCTAAAAATATTAAGGGCAAGAAAATTACAGACTCATATCTTATCAAGTCTTAATCAAAGAATATTATGGAAAACGGTATGATATTTTGTTCGTTATACGATTTCATATGATTTATGTATTTAATACATACATTTTGCAGGACACAAAGAAAGCTTTTTGGGAACGTGAATCTCAAATGAACAATGATCGGTTTTTTAAAGAGACTTATAGAATGAGCCGTTCAACATTCGAATTATTGTGCAAACATTTAAAGAGTTCAGATATGGACTTCAGAAAAGGCATTCCGTTAGAAAAAAGAGTGGCTATTGCGTTGTATACCTTGGGATCTGCAACGGAATATAGGAATATTGCTAACAAGTTCGGTGTTAAGAAAATTACTGTAGACAATATTTTGTTAGATTTTTGTCAAAAGGTATGGAAGATATTATGCCAAATTTATGTAAACCCATTCCCATTGAAACGGCAAAAAGTTGGAGAATGTGTTAGTGGCTTTGAGCGGTTAGGTTTTCCACAATGTTTAGGTGCTATTGGTAAGATTACACATTATTTAAACATACATCCTATATATGTACCTTTGTTTTGAAAGGTTATTGTCATATTAAGGTGCATCCCACAGCGGAAGTTGCAGAAGATTACCTTAACTCTAAGGGTTGGCATTCAACCATGTTGTTAGCTCTGGTAGATTACAAGTAAAATGTTTATGATCTAAATACCATTTATGTAAGTGTAAATATTTCCTTCTGTAGATATAGATTTTTATATATAAATGTTGGTGCCCCTGGACGTTGTAGTGCATCTTATGTTTTTCAAGAATCTGCGTTAAAAAAACAATTGGAAAATGCGACGATTCTTGAGGAAATGACAAAGCAGTTAGGCCAAACTCAAGTACCTGTGGTAACAATTGCAGATTTTTCTTTTAAATTGTCAAAGAGGTAAATCAAAATCAATTCATATCTTTCCCTCTTAAAGATAAAAGTTTTTTTTCTTTCAGAGTAATGAAGCCATATCCTTTTGTAAAAGAGAGTGCTGATCGAGCAGCATATAATGATAAGTTGTCCGAAAGTATAAAAGTTGCTAAGAATGCCATAGGCCATTTAAAAGGCAGGTTCAGACGCATCGGAAACGTGGTTGATAATAATATGCAAAATGTAAACACTGTTATAAAAGCTTGTTGTGTTCTACATAATTTTTTAAACGAACACAATGATGAAATGTACAATCATTGGGTACCAGAGGAAAATAATGAGGAGCTGAATAATGTCACTTACTATGATCTTGTAAATCCTGACAAAAGTGGAATAAACATAAGAAACGCTATTGCTTCATATTTGTGTAAGTTTTTTATAAAAACATTTTGAAAACCATAACGCATAATTGCATAATTTATTTTATTGTGGCTAACTTTTTAGCAAAGTATTTTAAATGTTATTATTTTATTTCATGTTTTTTGAATAGGCACATCAAAAAATGTGCATTCCTTAATTTGTGATTTTTCCAAAAAGCATGTAATTTCTTATTACATTATAAAACAATATATACAGCAATATATTCTATAACAATATATAAAAACAATTTCTGAAAATTAATTTCTTTCGTAAGCAACTTACGAGCATTCTTAATATTAAAACATAACAAACAAATACATAAAATAATTTAAAATATAAATAACTTACAACTATATTTAAATACATTAAAAACATAGCTTTAAACTTAATTAAGTATACACAAAATGATTAAAGCTAATTTAATTTTTATTTAGAAAATTTATGAACGCGCCTTTTAAGTCTTTAAACTCCTTGTTAAAATCTTGAAACTCCTTATTGAAACTTTCAATTGCTGTTGTTCTCCTCTTTTCAAGTTCCAACATTTCACTATTTATTTCCATCAGGCACTCACTTTCTTTCTGGATTATATTATTAGATTCTTCCATTAGTGCAAGCATATGAGATTGAAAAGTGCTCAAGTATTCACTTCTTTTAGATGAATGCGATGTCAATGACTTAGATGAGATTGATGTGTTTGAGTCTTCTACTGGTGAAGATTGTGCCGACGGCGATGGTACTCGTGAGGGTGCTGGCAATGATGACGGTGGCGGTGATGGTGATAGCGGTAGCATCTCTCGAACTGGTGTTGGTGTACGTGCTGGTGTTAACTGTGATAACGGTCGCGGAATGAGTGTTCGTACTGATAACTCCGATGGACGTGATGCTATTGATAACGCCGATGGTACTTCTGAAATAATTTAAAGCTGTTTATTTTACATGCTTACTGTTTGTATATATTAATAATATAAAATCAAAACTGCTGATCAAATATATATGTACATATACTTAATAATCATTTAACTATATTTAGTGTTAATTAAAAAATTATAACTAGTCAGTGCTTCATATGAAACGAACTTTATTAATATTGATATTAATTATTGACGTTAATTATTACTTATTAAATTTTACTATCAATATTTATTATGTATATATAGAATAAGTTTTTATATAATAAAAATAATTATATAATAAAAATAATTATTTAATTTCACACTTAACGCATTTTGTATTTTCAAAGCTATCAGTTGTGCCGGGTTTTGGGAGCATTAATTAATCAACTAGTAGTTAAATAAAAATATGCAATAAACAAACTTACTTATAATACTCTCATCCATATTTTCATAATTAAGCGTGTCAATAATGACATCAATTTTGTTATATAATGACCAAAGACTTGGTGCACCGCCAGTTCTTATTTTTTGCTTTTCTTTTCTGTAAGTTAAAACTTAGTTATTTTTGGACATACATAATACAATATCATTAAAATGAGATATAAAATACTTACTTATATTTTGTTGTTAAATTATGTATTTTATTTTTCAACATGGGTGCGTTTATTTCCACCCCATAAGAGGCAAGTTCGGACATCATCCTTTTGTAAACAGGAGCATTCCTTTTTGCGCTTCGTAAATCTTTTATATTCTCTCCCCATACTTTTACAATTGCAACCTCTTCAGATAATTTAAATCTTTTTGGGCACGGCAATTCCATATTGCGGTTATATTTGTTTACTATTTTCTGCATTTTGATGTTTGCACATATCTTGTGTTAAAATATGTTAAAAATAGGTAAACGCGTTTCAATACATGATAATTGTTGTTGGACACCAAACTCGTTTCGATAACTAAACAAGTTCGATAACTAAACGAGCTCTAAACGCAGAGATGCATTTCAAGTTATTTATTATCTTTGCATACATTTTAAAAGCAAATGCAAATAGTTTAGGTAAATTTTTTTATAATATAAAAATGTGTATGCAATAAATACATTCGTTCAATACATTCGTTTTTTTTTTTTTGTTAAAAGAATACAAACTTTCTTGTATTTGTTTTATACAGAATGACAAAATCACAATTTATGTTATAATAATTTATTGTAGTAAATGGTTCTTATTATGATATAAATTATAAGTTATAAGTTAAATATATTACAATTCACATAAAGCAAAAATTCTTGCCGAATTTCTATATCTATACTTAATATTAGAAGTATTCTTTTAAGTAAGAGTACAACTCAAAAATTTTGTTTTTAAATAAGCGTCTTTAGGACGTGTGTGAGTTAGGCTAACTTGATGATAAACCAAATGGGAGATTTTTTGGAATTTTTTGCACTGCACACATTTAGCCATTTATCAAAATGTATCGACACATCACAATATCATCGGTACAACTTAGAATTTCCCTCATTTAGAACGCAACTTAGCCTAACTCACACACGTCCTTAGTAATAAAAATATTTTTCATCTCAATTACTTGCTTTAGAAAAGGACGTTGGTGATTTTTTCATGATAACTCAAGACGTGAGCTCAAAATAGTTCATTTTACTAAAACGTATTGTCTCATCGGCATGTCCGGGAAATGTCCTGATTTGCGCTTTGAACGTATTCAATTAGACACTATTGTGATTACCTAGCTTCCGCAATTTAACGACTGATTTATAAAAATCAAGCGTTTTTGATCAAATTTTTTTCACAGTTAATGTCAATATAGCTTCATTCTTGCGATATAGGGATTCAAATCAACATTCATAGAACATATTTGTAAATTATAATATTCAACTAGCTATTTGAGCGAAATATATGAATAAGGAAATATAAAATAAAATTCCACAATATCTGTAATTGCAAACTATGAGTATATAGGAGCATTTACAAAAATCAATATGAATAAGTTCTTAAAAAGAAGCAATTTGTATTCATTTAAATTGTTTTAATAATTTTACTATCCCTTCTCATTAATAATTATAGTTAAATCGATCAGCATATCTCATAGTATTAGCTACATTAAAAATTTAATAAGCCAATTTTGTTTCGCTTAAAACTATTAAATTTTATTTAAGGTAAAGTAAATTGTTATTTCTGTAAAGTTTGTGTAGCATTTTTAAATTTTGACAGGGATGTTACGCTCTCTCAGATGCTCTCATTTACTCGAAAATTTGCTGGTGGAACGCACATTTGTATACACAGTGTTTACTAAGTAGCTCGTGGAACAGACCTCGTACTAGATATGTTAAAAATTTAATACGCTAATTTTTTTCGCATAAAACTATTAAATTTTTATTAATACGAAAAATCTTTAAAATCAGTTATAAAAAAATATTATATAATATTATATACAAAATACTAAAATACTTTTTAATTATAAATCTGTATATACTATTAATTTAGATGTGCATTTTTAAATTTATAATGTTTAAGTTATTCATTTAGGTTACTTCAAGCACGATATGATTGCTATATATATTTTTAAATTCTTACAAATTATATATATTTCTTATTTATGCATAAAAAATTAACTACAATGGAAAATGGCATATAGAGCAAGGCATACACAAAAATATAAGTGGTGATGTTTGGCTCTGCTATTTTTGCTAAACAAAAATTATTGCTAGTCCGGTAGCACCCTGCATTGCTGCTGTCATTTTTTTCATTTGTTTTTGTTTCTCGTTTCTTTATACAAGAAATAATTTTTCTGCACCGAGTTTTCACAGCTCAGTCTTTGTCGTGAGCGGATGTATTGTATTTTCGTCGGAGGTGAAAAGTGAAAATTGAAGTGGAGTGAAGAAGAATATTGAAAAAATTGTTTCTAAATATTTTTAACAATTGCGAAAAGGAATTTAAATCAGCGAAATTGATATTGTCTTAAAAGTACAATATGCTTTTGTAAAATAAATTAAATATTTATATTTTCACTGTCACTAACGCGATTGAAAATTTTCTGAGCGAAAAGAAAAATATGAAAAATCTGTGAATTTTATGTTTGTGGAATATAATTGATTGAATAGAAAGAAAATAATAATTATCTACAAAATATTTATATACCTATTTGTGATTAATATTTATTGCATTTAAATAAATAATGATAGTAAAAATAATAAGTAAATTGTGAAAAAATTTTTAACCAAGTAGAGAATAGTGAAAGAGGCAAAAATTGATTTTCCAACAGGCGAAAAAGAAATAAATAATTATCATATTGTATAGCACCCCCTCCCCCATCTTGTTTGTTTTTGTTTTGACTTCTTCGACGACAATTTGTCTGCCTGCCTGCAAACCAACAAAATTATATTGCTCCATTAAAATACTTCATACCTACATCCTTGCATAAATAAACCGCATGCAATGAATATCGTTGGTGACTACGAGTACTCCACCAAGGATATGCTTGGACACGGAGCGTTTGCAGTCGTGTACAAAGGACGCCATCGCAAGGTAATAATTACATAAACTGTGCATTAATAATTTATAATTATTAAATTTTCTATTTGCTTTTAAATTAATTAAGTTTAATTCTTCTAACTTCTAAAATTATTATCGGTTCTTTTTCCAAAAATTTAAATGGAAAAAAATTAAATTTTGTTTAATATACAATAAAAAAAATATTTCGGTAAACATAGTACAAAGAAATTTGTTATTTGATGAATTGAGTAATGTTTGCTTTGTTATACTATTTTGTTATTGTTGTTTGTGTTATTTTTCTATTAATATTTACGCGTGTATATGAAATAACTTACTTACATACTCAGCTCCGAGATAAGATCTTAAAGCAGAAAACTTATTTTATGGGTAATAATAATGGTAATATTTATTGGGTGACCTAATTTTGTTCTAAAGCGTTTGAAAATATAAGTCAATTAAAAAGAAAAATATTTAGATTTATGATATGTAATTTTATTTCCATTAATATATGTTAATGGAACACTAATATAATGGAATTCGATAACTCGTTATTCGATAAATTATTACTTATAATTAATTTTTGTAAAATTACCATTTAAAAACAAATTAATAAGTGTAAGTTATCGAGTTACTGATTTATATCTATATTTTTATAATTGTACATATAATTTGATAATTACACAAAACCAATTTGTATGTGAAAGTTCATCTAACGTCGAGTTACCGACTTCGGTCTGAATAGCATTGATATTACTTTTATAAAGGTAGTCAATATTTGGCATATATCGTAAGTTCATATATATATTTTATATCAATAATTTCATCAAGAATAGTTATATTGTCTTCAATATGAGCGATTTAAAAATTCTGTAGTAGGGAACTTTTGTTCCCTTTATCTGCTACTGGGTTAATTCATATCTTACATATCGCACACTCTCTTCAAAAGAGGTACAACTCGAAATTCGAAATAATTTATTTTATATCGAAAAAATCAGTTATATCTCTTCTTTTGTTAGGAATGACACTACGCTGCAAAACATTTTTTGCGTTTTCTGAAAATTGACGAATTTCGAGGGTGAAGAGGGTGTGCGATATGTATTTTCGTGGTTGGTTGTGTGACCATTCTCAATACAAGTTACTTTACTTATCTACTAAATCTGCCATTGATTAGAGAACCTGAATACGAATTTTTTATATACAAAAATATTTATACAAGATGTGAATAGGCAAAACCTTTCTCCTGTTAGCAGATATATAATGTACCATAAAATGTCAAAGCAAATACATACATTCTGACTATTTGTTTCAATTTATTATTGAAACAGAAATGTGGTTATAAAAGAAAAATAAATCTTAAATAATTATAATGAAGGAAATGCATTTAGTTTCGAAATCATATTCTATATTTCAATTAAAAACATATAATTACATTTGAAACCATCATCAAGTCTTTGATAGATCAGTTAAAGACTTCAGTTTAATCTTATCTCAAGCTTAATATCTTTCGGAATTAGATTTTTAAGTTTTATTTTCTCTAAATCTTTTTGCAAACTCTTCTATAGTGTTGGATTATCAAAGAATATACCATAGGCAGGAAATCCTATATACATTTTTTGCCTTATTGTCCGCGTTATACACCCTACTATTCCAATAGACTCTAGTCTAGACAATCTTTAACCAAATAAATACATGAATAGAGTTGAAGCAGGCTTACGAAAATTTAACCTTTTTAATTTGAAGGAATTAAAGAAAACATGGAAGAGTATTTTGCGAAAGGCCAAAACTGGCCTTTAGCTATAGTAATAGCAAGGATGATCATGAGTTTTCTCTTCTACTTTCGAAGTGAAACCTGTCTATTTTATGCATATTACAAATTTCTTCTTTGTTGTTTTGTTCTATATCTATTATTTTTAGTGTTTTATTATATCATTACAGATTTCATTTTATATATTGGTTATATATTTTTTTATATTATTTAATGTTTTGAATGTATGTACATTAGAAACCACTTCGCCTCCACACCTAACATTCAAGATCACGATAGTTTGCTAACACCGACCTTTTTAAAGCTGGAGTCTAGCTTTATTGTGAGATTAGTTTATTACTTCAAATAACTGTTGGGTTAAAATTGTATATTTTTCTTTTTAAAATTTATTTATTTACATTAAATTGACTACATATTTAGTAACGTTTCAAATCAGTCAATGTCACTGTATATTTTTTTAAATTTTTTATTTTTAGTTCAATATAAGACGTTCCTCTAAGGTTGTTTCTTCGTTTCTGTTTTTCTTTCCATATATTCAACTCTTCTATAACTAGGCATCAATAATCATTTTGTATTTCGTCTATCACATATTTTGGAGTTTAATAATTTTTATTTTTAATGTTGATTTCTCTAATATTGTCGGATAAAAAGATGTTCATGCCATTATAAACATTATTCTGCACTGGAGTAATGATCTTCTGATCAAAATTGGAGATTGAATAGATAACAATTCTTGTGCATAGATGCTATCTTTTACTTTAAAACATTCTTGGCATTCTTAGCTATTTTTTTCATATAAATTTATCAAAATATATCAGTTCTTGCTATAAATTTATCAAAATAATTTTAAAAGTATACACGTACTGTTACTGAAATTTATTATGGACATTCATGGAGTTAATTGCATTAGTGTAAACGCACTAATACTTACTTAAAATAAAGATGGAACAACCATCGTTGTCATTTATTGTGTTAACTGTTACATACACTTTAAAATTTAAATATATTAACATCTGCGAGGAATGTGTTGTTTCTATATTATATTTTTTTTGATGCAGAGAAAAACCTGAACAATTCCCCTTCCTTTAAATGATAATTTTTCCAAAATTTCTCTTTCATTTTTCGCTACCTCTCGCGATATGTTGTCAACAAAATGGCCGAATAGTTTTGTCTATACTTTATTCATATAAATTTCTTATTTTTACACATATTACAATTTATGTTGAACCAGAGAGTTAGAAAAATAGTTCATATTATTAAATATTTAATAAAGAAGGTTTTCCAGCTCTCTTCGATACTCGAGTCCATACAGGTCATAAAACTTTTCCATAAGGTTGGCATGTACATTAAGACTGAAAAGTTTTCGGAAATTCTCATTTAAAATTCGCGCGCTGTATATTTTTCGATATTTTAAGTTTATGTAGTTTGGCAGCCCTGTCCTTAATTACTATGCCAAAAATGAGCGCGATCTGTCAGACAGTTCGTTTACGGCAGCTGTTGAAACCAGTTCACCTCAGTAGTGCGTTGCGAAATGTCTTCGACGGTCTTACGACCGTCCTGAAAGGCTTTGTACCACTCATAAACTTGAGTTTTCGATAAAACTGATTCCCCATAAGCCTTTTGTAGCATTCGCAACGATTCTGCACACGAAATTCGTTCGAAACACAAAATTTGATGCAAACTCTTTGTTCAATATTTTTTTCCATTGTTTTTTTCGCAACGCACTACTGAGGTGAACTGGTTTCAACAGCTGCCGAAAACGAACTGTCTGACAGATCGCGCTCATTTTTGGCATAGTAATTAAGGACAGTGCTGCCAAACTACATAAACTTAAAATATCGAAAAATATACAGCGCGCGAATTTTAAATGAGAATTTCCGAAAACTTTTCGGTCTTAATGTACTTCAAAAATCAAGTAAAAAAAAATATTACAGGCTCACAACGTCCTGCCGGTATGATTATTTCCACCTTGCCTCTTTTCTACCTATTTTCACCCTTATCGGTATATTCGCTTTTGCAATTGTTTCTTATCCTTTTCCTACGTACTTTCTATTTTTTTGGTGAGAATTCGTATGATGCCCTTATATGTGTGGATTAGTTTTTCGTTTTTTTTTTGTTGTATTATTGAGTGACAATTTTAATCAAAATAGAAGTAAAAAGCCGCATATATAGTTTTTAGCAGAAAAAGATTAACAGTTAATGGAGTCAGACTTACTGCACAATTCCAATCTTCATCTGATGTTTGCCAACTGTTAAAGTGGGGCGAATAAGTCGGAACAATAACTATAAGTCTCGACTCGATGTTTCTTTTTTTTTTTTTTATTTTAATGTCCAAATGTACATAGTTGCTTAAGATTAATAGTTGTTTAATATTAAGATAAAAGTATCTGCATATTTCCAGCGTAAAAACAGTTTGTAGAATATTGTCTAGTTAAATGGAGACTATACTGTGTCCTAAACTATAAATATTGATTTATTTACTTGTTTTTTAAATACTGGGTACTGAAAAGAAACAGAGTTTGCGTTAAGCAAATCCGAAGATATTTCTAAAAAGTATAGAGCTACAATAATATAGGCTAAAATTATATCCAGTAATCCAGGAAGCTGTGGCGATAAATTATCACTAATTGCGCTACTAATTTTTTACTGTAAACTTTCAGTAGCCTCTAAACTGATAGAACTCTCAATTAAACTTTCTCTTTTGCTCTTTTAACGAATTGGGCATCATGTTTTTAAACTCAGCTTCTAAAAACCTTCGTGGTTTAAAACCAAGAATATTAAAGTGAGAAATCCATCAAACTAGATACTTTCTCAAAAAAACAAGAAAAAATAACGCTGGTGGAGTAACTATTTCTACAATATACTGTTCTCCTCGTCATAATATAACCGAATGTAAATCCGTAGAATATTGAATTATTTGCGGGGTTGTAGCAAATAGTTTTCTTGACTTTATCAACAATTTGTTTTTTATTTTGGTTCTACTCTACGAAATGTCTTACATCAAGAAGTCGAAAAAATTTTTAACTTGCGATCGTATTGGTAACTGCGTGGTCGGAATGAAATGTGGAGCGTTTCATCTCATCCATTATTGTTTTTTGAATGTTTACCTTGCTGTCATGTCCACTGTTTTTTACCATTTGGTTATCCAATGACCTTTTAAAAGTTTTTAACTTTAGATGTTCGCATGGGTTCCAGAGGTTAAATGTTATAAGTTCTACGGTTTAAAAACACAATCTGACAGTCACTGTTCCGGCTGGTTTTTTGTAGC